ATATATATATATATATATATATATATATATATTTCAATTGATTTTTCAATTAAAATTCAAATTTTCAATCGATATCCGTTGGAATTCCGTGGAATTTTTAAAAAAAAAATTCCAAAAAAATTTCCAACCGGCATCCGTTGGAATTCCGTTGGAATTTTTTAAAAAAAATTCCAAAAAAATTTCCCATCGAAATCCGTTGCAATTGTTTTCTAACCAACATCCGTTGGAATTCCGTTAAAAATTTGCAACCGATTTTTCCAACGTTAGTCCGTTGAAAAGTTCCAACGGATATCCGTTGGAAATACCGTTGCAAATTTTAAACCCAATTTTTCAATTGAATACGTTGAAAATTCTGTTAAAAATTTTCAACGGACGTTTCCAACGGATATCCGTTGGAAATTTCAACAGAATTTTAACGGAAATCGTCGTTGAAATGCCGTTGAAAATCCGTTGAAAAATTTTCAACAGACAAATCCGTTGGAATTCGATGATTTTTTTGTAGTGGATAACAATAAAATATGGGATGTCTACGGGACGCTTCCATTTTTCCTTTATCTATCTATATGTGTATAGCCAAATTCTCGGCGACTTCACCTTCGTTTTTTTTTAATCCAAGTTACTTCTTTTTTTTTGGTCCCACCATGGACCCCTCGATATGTTCACACTTGGACTCCAATAAGTCAACCCAGCCACTCCTACGTTGTTGGTGTCTGGAGAAAGACCTTTGAACGTTGAAAGATTCATCGTCAATAAATCGGACATATAGATATCTTGTTGCTTATCATATTGGAATTGTTGATCATTACTATAAGCCTTAAACAAACCAGGTTAGAGAAGTTACCACGGCAAACACAACTCGGTTTTCCAATCAAAATTGCTAACTTGAGTTTTTAGCATTACATGCCTTTTGTCACATTCTGACGCATTCTTACAAAAATTGACTAAGAGAACAAATAAGAATCTGAGCACGAAAAAGACCTTTTCTTTTCTCTTTCCGACTGTTTGTTCCACTTGCAGTACTGAAGTACTTGTGCTGCAGTAAAGAAAATGAAGTTTCGAAGCCTTTGCTTGGCGACATACCCCTAGTGAGGACTAGTATTCCCTGTGTAATGATCATGAAGATCATGCCATTCCCCGTTAAGATCATGTACTCGACCAGCTTTAGTTTAGATAATCTTCTCAACCATCATTTCATGTAGACCATTCTGCAAAGAGAAAGAAGACGCCTAGTTAGTACAAAATGATTGAATGCACAACTAAAATCCATAGGCAAGTAGATATATACCCCGTCCAATGTCTCCCATCTATATTTTGGTATCATCTGACAGTTGAGAAAATAATGGGTCGTCTAGAGATAATAGTCAAGGAAATGTGTCCTGCTTGCAGAGTTTGTCGCCGTATAAACTGTTCATGATCACCGAGCAGAAGCAACAACACTCTAGAGCAACAAAAAAAATGATGATGAACATCCCTCCATGGAAAGCCAGAAGTGAGAGAATTAAATGCTTGAAAACTATCTATCTTTGTTTAAGAGGAGGGACCTAGTATTTGATAAGAGCAGGAAGCGATGCATGAAGTTCTGACAAACACTGGAAAATCCAGTTGAGTAGTTGTTCTCTCGGTAGCTCCAAAAGAAGTTCTGCCTGTCGACCAGGTAAAGTGGTAGAGTGAATATGGGATTTGTGAGTGAGAAGTGTCGCAGGCTAGATTAATTTAGCTTAAAGAGAAACATTGAGTACCGTTATCTGATCCCCCCCATAAATCAAGGAACTTCGGTAAGTGTCAGAAATCATGGAATCAGTAATCAGCTTGTAAACCTTCTTACTCATCTTTGTTTTCATGCCAACCATCTTGCCCGCCACATAAATTCTAATGATCCCAAGATCCGCAGCCATGCGTCTGACATATAGCTTCTTCAATATTATCTCCATAGAGTAAGGTTCTTTTCCATATTGACGACGCAGGTTCTCTGTAAATTGCATAAGACTCCACATGTCTCTCTCGGCAGCTTTTTCAGCTTCATTAATGATCTCCAAAGGATTTTCCAGGCGATTTATGTACTCAGAAGGAAGACGAGGATTTATATTTATGTCAATCTGGGATGCATAACCAAAAAGAAGCATGAGACCCACAATATTGTTATATGATTCAGGCAACACCTAAGTCTCATGTTTAGCCTTTATAGATTCAATCAATAAACTTAGTATCATACACTGATCAATATAAATGACGTTGCCCATAAAGTGACAATACCTGCACCGAGTCATATGGAACTGTAACAATACGATGCTCCTCAACCTGCGAACAACCGAAAAGGTAGCCTCACAAGTCAATAAGCCAGCATTTCAGGAGGATGGCTAAAGCTTCGACCTCAAGATTATTTAAGAGATAAGAGAAAGAATCATGAACCACAATAACCTTTGACAAACTCTCGAAAAGCATTTCAAAGAAGAGATCAATGCCCACATTTCCAACATCCCCTGTCTGCTGCTCACCAAAGATTGTGCCGAAACCTCTTATACCCATATCCCTTTCTGCAAGTTGGAAACCTTGTCCAAGTTCACGGCACTCTTCGAGAGCAGCAAGTCTTTCCTGCATTGCAAAAAACAAACATACTGGGTCATTGCCCCAATGTCAAGCTCAAAAACATGCATAGTTAATTAACTATCAAAAGAGAAAGGTCAGCAGAAAATCGAATACCAATGCTTGATCAGACAGCAAAGACTTATCAGGATAAAATAGGTATGCATGAGCTTCTTTATCAGCACGACCAACCCTTCCACGTAACTGTGAAAACAAAAAGGGAAGATGTCTTAGGAGTTGAGCGCAATCACAATAAAACAAAACCAAATGAACATATAACTTCAAGACCTGGTATAACTGAGCAAGTCCAAACTGTTGAACATCCTGAATAACTATGGTATTGGCATTTTGAATGTCAAGCCCGCTTTCCACAATATTAGTGCATATGAGAATTTTAATTTCTCCTTGACCAAACCTCTCCATGGTGTCCTCTAGTTGTTTTGAGTATTGCTGTGAATACATGATTGCAGAAGAATAGTCAACAATAACACAGGAAGCTTTCCGTTATAAGGATTCTGTGAAAAAAACAAATTAGCATCCAAATTGTCTAAGGAGACTAAAAAGGACCAGTACATGCCTTCCCATGTGCAATTGCAATATCAACATCCGGAAATGCTTCTGTGAGAAAATCCATCACTTCTTCAAGTCCTGACAAGCAAGAATGAGGTAAGTATTGAATCAGAATGGAGAAACCTCAAGATTAACAAATAGAATAGTATCCAAGAAACCTGAAGATTAACAATTAGAATAGAATCATAGAATCCTCACGAGTTTACAGGTTATTAGCTTTAATAATAAGGTCCTTATTCAAGGTTCCTATCTATTTCCAAATCCAAATATAGGGAAGAGATGAAACTAATCACATGAAGCGAGGGCGAGAGAGAGAGAGTAGAGAAGAAAGCATCTAGAAGTGCTACCTTTAATACGAGGCAAGACATAGAAAACTTGGCCACCACGATGCAGCTCGTGTTTGATTGCTGCTATTACTTTTGCCTCACTGAATGATGAAAGATGAGTTCTTATTGGTAGCCTTTCTGGAGGAGGTGTTGAGATTAAACTGAAAAAATAAGGTATTAAGAGGCTGTTTAGTCTTGTGCAGCGTCTTCTGTAAACTTAATGAAGCTTCGTAACGATCATTGTACTACCTAGCATCCCGGAATCCTGTCAAAGCTAAGTATAGCGTTCTTGGTATGGGTGTCGCAGATAGAGTAAGCACGTCCACTGATGTTTTGAAAGATGCAATCTTTTCTTTTTGCTTGACACCAAACCTCTGTAAAGCAGATCATTTCACTTATGCCAGGAATCATTCTGATAACATGGACTGTGAAAAATACAAGAATTCAGGGGACGATAACACAAAGATTGCAGCCTGACCTGTTCCTCATCAACCACTAGAAGGCCAAGATTATTGTACACAACCCGACTCCCGAGAAGTGAGTGAGTGCCCACAATGATATCTAGATGTCCATTTTTTATCATTTCTAGGTATTCCTCCTTCTCTGCTTTAGTCTGCAAAAAGGTCCAATCAGTGATTTACAAACGTGAACATTTTGCGTTAAGCTGAGTATCTTTATGAAATGCACAACCTCCAAATGGCATTTGGATGTTCAAGGATCCACAATATGGGATTATCTATTTGCAACAGAACAACTGCGCAGAAGAAATTTCACTAGCATAGAAATTTCCAGTACCTGGAATCGACTCAGAAGGCCAACCTTGATACTTGGATACAGGGAAAAGCGTTCTGAGATTACGTCAAAATGTTGTTTCGCTAAAACAATTGTTGGCGCCAAAACCATAGTTTGTTTTC